GTGAAAGGATTCAAACCACGTGGTGATATTAGGGCTGGGCGATAAAACAAGAACGATAATTAACGCGATTTAATTTTCCTCAACAGAAATATAAGAAACGTTCAACAGCCCTGGTGGCGTTTTCTACTGCAAGGAAAGCGACACTACTCTGCTGTCGCCACGAGAGGGCGCACTTCTGAGTTTTTGACATGATTAGAGAGGCATGATTAGACTTTGTCAATGTCTGAAACGTGGAGTTATACATTCCCTGCTTGAGTGGAGCAACCGGCAATCTGTTCTCCTGTGACCAAGTGTGAGTAACGAGATCAGTAGCGTAACTGTACTGTCCTACAGCGAACTCACCACTTGCCTAACATCCTAACAAGCTTTAGCAGCGTTAAATCACGTCTGCTCCTCACAATTACAGCGCTGTGTTACAGTGCTCAGTCATATTTTAGTGCATTCTCAAGAAACAAAAGATACACTATATTGCCAAAAGTATTCGTCGTCTGCCTTCACACGCATATGAACTTGAGTGACATTCCATTCTTAATCTATAGGGTTTAATATGATGTCGGCCCACCCTTTGCAGCTATAACAGCTTCAACTCTTCTGGGAAGGCCTTCCACAAGATTTAGGAGTGTGTTTATGGGCATTTTTGACCATTCTTCCAGAAGCGCATTTGTGAGGTCAGCCTGGCTTGCAGTCTCCGCTCTAATTCATCCCAAAGGTGCTCTATCGGATTGAGGTCAGGATTCTTGGAACAGGAAGGGGCCATCCCCAAACTGTTCCCACAAAGTTGGGAGCATGAAATTGTCCAAAATCTCTTGGTCTGCTGAAGCATTAGGAGTTCCTTTCACTGGAACTAAGGGGCCGAGCCCAACTCCTGAAAAACAACCCCACATCATAATCCCCCCTCCACCAAACTTTACACTTGGCACAATGCAGTCAGATGAGTACCGTTCTCCCAGAAACCACCAAACCCAGACTCGTCCATCGGATTGCCAGACGGAGAAGCGTGATTCATCACTCCAGAAAAACGTCTCCACTGCTCTAGAGTCCAATGGCGGCTCTTTACACCACTGCATTCAACGCTTTGCATTGCGCTTGGTGATGTAAGGCTTGAATGCAGCTGCTCGGCCATGAAAACCCATTCCACGAAGCTCTCTACGCTGTTCTTGAGCTAATCTGAAGGCCACATGAAGTTTGGGGGTCTGTAGTGATTGACTCTGCAGAAAGTTGGTGACCTCTGCTCACTATGCGCCTCAGCATCCGCTGACCCCGCTCTGTCATTATACGTGGCCGACCACTTCGTGGCTGAGTTGCTGTCATTCCCAATTGCTTCCACTTTGTTATAATACCACTGACAGTTGACTGTGGAATATTTAGTAGCGAGGAAATTTCACGATTGGACTTGTTGCACAGGTGGCATCCTATCATGGTACCACGCTGGAATTCTCTGAGCTCCTGAGAGCGACTCATTCTTTCACAACTGTTTGTAGAAGCAGTCTGCATGCCTAGGTGCTTGGTTTTATACACCTGTGGCCATGAAAGTGATTGAAACACCTGAATTCAATGATTTGGATGGGTGAGTGAATACTTTTGGCAATATAGTGTATATCGCTGTTTACCTCTCAATCTACTGCCAAAGAATAGAGAAATCCAGTCGTCTGCTAGCTGGTGTCTGAATACTGTGAAATGCTCTGACATGGATGCGGTAGGAGTGATAGCAGTAAGGCGGTGTGATCCATCATTGACGTATTGAGCCAGCTAATGTTTGCTGTTCGTACTAAGCTGATGTTGGTGAGAAACTAAACAGTTTAGCATTCGTAACCAGACAGCTAAAAATATTTTGTTTTCTTTCTTAAATTATGAATATTCCAAAAATTGCAGCCATGCTCTTCCAGCTGGTAAAACAGCTGACCCTGAAACCTTCTGCCACTCTCCCATGACAGATTTGTGAAATGTTCCACTGTTTGGCGAGTGTTTGTCTTGTTCTGACCATAAAGGATAGTTTAAAACGACAAATGACCACTCAGGAGCAAAAATCAGCCTTCAAACTTGAAAGAAATAACGGTTTGACATTTATATGTATCGATATCAACTGATATGAATACTTTTATCGTGATAAAGTTTTTGGCCATATCGCCCAGCCCTATGGGATATCTATCACAGAATCATGGCAGTTTTTAAAGGCAGTGCTGTCTGAGTGATCAAAGGTCATGAGCATTCAGTTGTGGTTTTCGGCCTTGCCCATTACGTACAGAGATTTCTCCAGATTCCTTGACTTTGTTGATGATTATATGCACTGTATGAGTAAAATGCCTAAAAGTCTTGTAATTGTTTGCTGAGGAGCATTATTTCTAAACTGCTGGATTTTTTGCTGATGCATTTTTGATAAAGTGGCGAGCCTCATCCCATCCTCATTAAGCACAAGGCCTTTGCTAAGTGCTTTACTGGACCCTTTTACACCTAGCATGATTACTACGGGTGGGAATCTCTAGGCACCTCACGATTCGATTCAATTACGATTCAGAGGGCTGTGATGCGATTATAAAACAATTTTTTTTCTATATTATATGCATTTCTATTTTCTCACTGTGTGAGTTCAAGTTTCAAGTTTATTTGTCATTTGCATGTCAGGATATTTATGCATTGAAATGCTTGTGGCGAGGCTCAGCTAATCACTCTACAGAAAGTAAGTAAGTAAAAATAAAAATACAAGAAAAACCAACTGAAATATATTAAATATACACAAAATATACACAGAATATAGAGACAATATACATTTTAAAGTGACTAAGTGACTCAGTGTTGTTATTTAAAGTGACTTGGTACTTTTAACTAAAGTATTTGTAATGATCCATAAAGAATTTACTTCCAATATCTCTTATTAATAAATCAAATGGAAGTGATGTGGCAAGCGAACTGGAAGGCTCTCATTCAGTGCTTTTGTTTAGAGCACAGGAGACGCTGCTGCCAGTGATAAAATGCGCATTTACGGTGACAAAAGATCCAGTGGTAATGGATGTCGATGCAGCACGTTACAGCCGTCCTGCCCGTTTTCTTTAATATTTTTATAACTTCGGCTTTAGTCTCGTTGTAGAGACGGGGGGGATCGCTGTGTCAGTAAAGTATCTTTGAGACGGGGCGTGTGCAACATAGCGCGAAAGCCCGTGTTTCGCAACGACTGAGAATTGCCATGCAGAAAGCAGGTCACATAGCAGCGATGCGTTATTCGCATTTATAAGCAGCACAGTTGGTTTCCTGGTATGTTAAATCTGCAACGAGAGACTGTCAAACACTAAAAAGTTGCGAAGATGAAGTCACTTCTCTTTTCGAATTTTCCCGTTCCACCTTAAATGATGTCGCATTTACATTCAGCGCCTCAGTCAGAATTTAAGGTGGAATGGGAAAATTCGAACAAGAAGCTGGAGAATAAGAAGCGACTTCAGCCTCGTAAAACAGTCAAACGTTGAGAGACATTTTACAATAAGCTGCTCTAGTTTTGAATAAAAGTTTCCTGAGGGAAAGGGGAGGAAAGCGGCTAAAGCTTAAAGCAGAGCAAAGTAAGTGCGCTCTCGTTTATATTGTTTAGCCTATACTAGGGATACTATCACATACTGACACATACCGGACATAAAATGTTGTGGCTCCCAAGGTGGTTTGATTTTTTGTTGAAAGGACAAAATGTCTCTTCTTTTCATTTGTGTTGTGACTCTTGACCTGACCTGGCTTTTAATGCAGAGGGAGCCAGTCGGATTTCTCCCTCATCAGGGAGTGTTTTTGTTATGTGCCACCACAGACTGTCCGGGCGCTGCACTTCCGCACTTCCAAGTTCCGCCTTTTGCGTTCCGTCAACATTACGTTATAAATTAAATATTTAGAAAATCGATTTTTGACATTTGTTAATCGATTCAGAATCGTTCACGTCCGCATCGCGATACATCTAAGAATCGATTTTTTCCTGCACCCCTAATGATTACACTACGTTTAAGATTTTGTTTTGCACAAATTTTGGAAAATGCTGCAGCCATCGATTTTAGAATGCGTGTATGTTTACATAAAAACAATCAAGTCTATAAGATAAAACATTACTCATCTTGTCTTTGCCCTGTTTTTTTCTGAATTTCACATACTGTCCTAACTTTTTTTGGAATTGGAAACAAAGTGTTTCAGTATAAACTGTTTATCCTGAAGTTACATACAATAAGACACATTTATCAATACTTTGTCATAGCTAGTTAAACACTATACAAATGCACGAGGTGTTTGACTTCTGTATCACAATGCTATATGTCATATTACAGTTCACGCTGTCTTGGACATCTGGAAAAAGTGGGTCTAGTTCATTACAACAAAGCATCTGAAAATGGCCTCCATACATAAAAATGCAAATGAAGTCAGCAATGGTCAATGCTAATCCACATGGAAGACCGACTATGACAAGCTGTGGTTAAGTAACAAACCTTAAGTTGCTCCCTCCTTCTCATATGCTTTTTCCACACTCTCTTTGGTCTGCTAAACCTGCAGCGTCCTCAACTGCCTTCTACAGTTCTCTTTTACAAAACACAGAGCAACTGTTTGGGCCTCTCAATAAAAGTTTAATACAGCCTTCGTGGCTAGCAGTGCGTCAGAGGAAAGAGGCCAGCTGGACTGCAGCTAAACCACTGTTAGGAGGAGCAGGGCCTACTGCATGTTTCTACACTGACAGCAAAGCTTTTCTCGGTCCAAAATTCCTGGAAAGCAGACTGCGCCAAAGGAGCGGGGTGGGTGGGGGCTGCAAGAGCCAAAGAAAACAAATGGACCTGCTTCGAGAGCCAATTATTAAATGTGCCTGCTCCGCTGCACTGGTGGGGAGGGGAAGCTAGAAGCCATGGCACAGACAGAGAAGGCAACTGTGAACTTAAGGTGGTCATATACTTTCTCAGAAAAAATGTAAGAATTCCGTTAAAAATGAATTACAGATGTGTCAAACATCCCCAGACCTACTTTATTCTGCTTTTGATGAGTCTGGAAAGGGGAACAGTTCTCCACCTATGAGGAAGCATTAAGCCAGGAGCCAGTCCATGGAAGTAATAACAAATCAAAAAGTTTCCCATTTTGGCAAAGAGGATTCATACAATGTGAGGTAAGAAACCTCATTCATTTTGCAGTGGAACATTTCCTAGTCTGGCACAAAAGGCCAGGAAATTGTAATCATATGCATTAGCCAAAGGGCAGCATCACTTAAGTCATCAACGACTGAAGCGAATGATCAATCACTGTGTGACAAACGTCCCGAAATGAGCAAATTAGCCAATTCAACATTAGTAACTTATGTGAGACACAAGGAAGCACAATAAAGTCAGTACTACAAGTTGAGTATCTGCTCCGAAAAAAAGAGAATGACACAGATGCCTATACACAAATGAGCAGTAAGAGAGAGGATTTTAAGCCAATAATTAGAAAAGAGAATATAGCAGAGCTAAAATAACCTGTTTCTATGTCAACAGAATGGTATTATCTTATCTGTTGCCATGACAAAAGTTTGATACAAACAAGTAAATGTCATGAATTTTAATCTTGTAGACATGCTGAATTATAGCACAAATAACAGTGATTCTGCAATTCTTCTATTTTTAAACAACAAAATGTACTGAAAGTACACAGACAAAGAAACATGATCGATTAAAACTTTCCTAATTAAAGCTGGGTTTCAGCAACTGTGAGTTCTTGTTCACTTTAATGCTTCTCCTTTATCATCTGTTTCCTAGAAGTATGGGGAGCATGCTTATTTTTTCCATTTCTTTCATCCACAGGCCTGCCTCTCACATTTATTATAAGTCGAACCACAGTGAGTCAATAAAATCTTCAGTTCAGAAGCGGGAGACGGGAAAGGGAGGGAGAGCAGCCAACAAATGGCTTTGATTAGGCTGTATTTTTCCTAGAAAGGAGGATGCAGGGCGAGAGTGCCGATGCCAGGAATTTATGTAGCTTTCACGGAAAGCAGGGCAGCAAGCCTGGCCTTGAGAAACTGAAAACACAACTTGGTTTTTTTTTTTTTGCACTCCTTCTGTTTCTCGCTGTAGTCATTTCGTCCTATGTGAAATTACTTTAAAAGCCATGGTTTCATCATAGGAAGCATGTCTCGGAAGCAAAACAAGACACTGAGGTACCAATCAAAGGCATTTTTGAAGGATATAATGATTTAAAATGAAGTGAAGTCTGAGAGCAAAATGGCAGTTAGAATTGTAACTTTTTGTTGACATATTCTCAAGCTGTTTGACAGTAATATTGGGCAAAAATGCCGAATATCACATTTCTTTTCTTGGCATGAGCGGGATTATAAACTGTACATTGCTGTGCAGAAGTCAGAGACCACCTTTCCATTTAATTCATTTCCAGCCAAAACAGCCATTAAATACAAGTTACTCATTTTCCAGCAACAGGAAAAAAAAATCATATATTTAACAGGAAATTGCACAAAAGCCTCTACAACTACACAAAATATAAATTTAAGTATTTAGTGCATCTACCTTTTGACTTTATTACAGCTTCCATTCTTTTCAGACTACAAGGATATTTTATCCACACCTCCAAAGTTCAGTCTTAGACATTGGTTGCATTTTCTGCTTCTCACAATCCAAGCAATCCAAGCACATTCAGTGATGCTGAGGTCTGGACTCTGGGCTGGTCAGTTCATTGTTCTGAGAAGACCAGCAGCTTCTTTGTTTGATCTGCAATTTTTTTTCTTTTTTTATCTTCTTCCTTTTCTCAGTAACAGTTTCTTGACAGCTACACATCCTTTCAGACTCATAGTGTTGAGCTGTCTTCTCACAGTGGAAGGATGGACAGAAACACCTGTGGATTTTTTCAGAGCTGAAGAAAGAGTGGAGCTTGATTTTCTCCTCTCTCTCTCAGAGATGAAAGCTCTAAGCAGTGTTTATCTGAAGTGACAGTTTTGGTGGTCTATCAGGTCTTGCATGGTTGTTAAGAGCCCAATTTTTTCTATAGCCTTTAATCATTTTTAGAACTTCAGTTTTGGAAACAGTTTTTTCACGTATTTTCCTTTCGCTAATCTCCCCCAAAATATCTCCTGAGATGTAAAATAACTTGTACTTAATGGCCATTGTGACTGGAAATTAAATAAAGGGTGAAGGGTGGTCTCTGGCTTTTGCACAGTACTGTACCAATTCAGAGCAAAGCCACTTGTGCTTCAACATCCATTTTAACTTATGTGCGCAGTCAGCTTCCGGATATTTTTTACTGGTGTACCCCATCACATGGCGCACACATAAAGCTGTGCACACACAGTGATGGATTTAGCATTTGATCTCCCCCTTGGTGTCTGTCTGTGGAATCAGTCGGCTCAAACCAACATTAAAACTACAGAGCCATCTGTGAAAAATAACCAGGCATGCTGGATGCTGGAAGAAGACTTCAATCAGACTCATAGCGCAGAAACTCAGCATGACCAAATCAACAAGTCAGAATTGTGAGAGCTGTGAGAAAAACTGCAAAAATAAATAAATAAATAAATAAATAAATAAAAGTTACTGCACTCACCAACAACCTCCACAGTGAAGGAGTTCAAGTACCACCATCTACTGTTTACAGATGATTTTCATCATCTATTCATTAACACAATGATCACAATTTTAAACATAATGCAGGGATTAGTCGGTGCAAATCTGGACAGATGGGTCAAAAACAAACGGACAGGCATGGCCAAGGTGAAAAGTTAAAACTTAAGAAATGGAAATAAATTATGATGCAAAACATTACAATTCATCCGAACATTAAACACAGGAGAGGCTGCGTCAGGTCTTGGGCTTTGCATGGCTGTCTTTGGAAACTTTACATACCACATGTACCAGCAAGCCATTAAAAAAAACACACATACAAACTCAGTAAAGTACAAATTTTGCCTGTTAAAAAAACTTATAAACCTTGAAAGTCAGCATCTGGGTCATAAATCTAAACCGAAAACAACAACTGTTAATAATCTGAATTGTTGGCAAAGCATAACAGAGACACAAACCAAGAATTTGGTGATGTGTAAATGTTCGTTAAAGACTTGATGTAGTTAGCGTTCGCTAAAAACATCAAGTTATATAATAAGTTATAAGTTCTATACGTCTATATACTATACATCTACTTTAGCCTGAGTTCATAATCAATACTTTTTCTGATCTTGGCCTTATATTCCTTGCACCTCAAATACAAAGTTCTTACGCACACAGCAATAAGCAGGTTCACTGCCCAAATACTTTCAGACAGGACTGTATTTCTTTATTAATTTTCTGTTTTTCCAGACAGACAGGACAAAACCAACCATGGGGTACTTAGGAGCCTGTTCACTGTACTGTACACATATATCTATGGGAGTAACTACTGAACTACTAAACTGACCTGTGTGCATTATCCCTGACCCAAACCATGTAAGTATTTTTGATAGATTAATTTGTTTTACACACGCAGGCTACTGAGACATAGGCTTTTTAAAAATCACTGCTATGAACACAGACTGCTGTTAGCACCGTCGAGTCACCCTGAAGATGAGGACACACCAGGGGAACAAAGGAGCATTTTCTGCCTGAAGTCAGCTGTGGGCAACCTGAGCTGAGCTGCCCGCCTTATCAGTGACTCTGTAACATCAGACTCATGAGGCTTTCTCTTTTTTTCGCTCGGGGGGAAACGAGCGGGCTGTGAAACTGAACCTCTGGGTCAGCGAGTTCAGTTTAACCAACGGACGTTTTTCCAGCTCTGTTGAAAACACCTCAGCGCTACCTTTAACCTGAGGGGGCCTGGGGACAAGAGGTTAGCGCGCTAAGTTAGTTAGCTAGGTTACCTGACTCAGTAATATCACCCCTCCTCCCCCCTCCTTACCTCTCCACCGCAGTGGGTCAACTCACCCACCTGAGGCCGCGCTGGGGTGCGACACAGTCGCGCTGTCGTCTGCAGCCGCAGATAAGAGCAGGAGTTTCTCTCTAATCCAGGGGAAGTCCTGCTCGAGGGAGCTGAGAAAGGCGCCGAAGGCGAGAGGGCCGCGGCCGGGCAGGATAGCGAGCAGCCTCAGAGTCTTGTTTTTGTTCGACGGCTGTGACTGAATCTCCTCCACCTGGCTCTCCGTTAAAATGCCCTCTTGATACAAGTACTGAATAATCGTGTCGTCGACTATGAGCTGCTCGGAGAGGTGCAGCCTGTGCGCTCGAAGAATTTCTTTATGCTTCGGGTCCATAATTTTACGGATTTTCGAGCTGAGAGTGAAACTATGCTGCTAGCAAACGTCTGCTAGTCCTGCTAGCGGTGTGGAGAGAGAAAGCAGGGCAGCAGCGGAGGAGCCGCTTCGCCCTCATGCGAAACCAACTCAGTTTAACTGCTGAATGACAACGCTAAAGTGATTAGTTATATAAATCAGCCTTTTTAACCGTTATAACCCCCCGTAGGCCTGTTATTACTTGGGAGATGGTGTCTTTAAACCGCCGTTTCCTCATGTTCCATCGTTTTACACCGACTAGAAACGAAACACGAGGAACTGAAGTTTTGTTGACGGATGTTTGTTTGTCTTAATTTACCTCCTTTATTTCAGTCTTTTCATAATATAACACTTAGAAAGTCGACACACTCTGTACAGTCACTGCTAAGTAAAACAAAAGTCATTTATTGATAGTCATTATGTTTTTGTTTAAGCGAAATTCACATCACAAATGTTGAGGTCTGGTGACCTGGAGAGGAATGAGAAATCATTTCTGTTTAGGAGTTGTGTTTGTCACCACTTATCTGTCAGAATTATTTTTAATACATATTGTATAAGATAAAATGACTGAATACCACAGCATGTTTGTTAACATGTAGGGTCTAATTAAACATCATAAGAGGGACTGAACCGTTCGTATTGGGGGGGCTGTGCTGTCTCTCACCAGCAGATGTTTCCACACAGCTGCTAAACTAAATGGTTATGTAAATTGCCTGTATCTCAGAATATTCCTAGAGATATAGATATTCTTTAACTGTAATTGTTATTGGTATAAGTCATGTCTTGGATACTTTGAGTGATATTTTAGGGGCCCATGCACACTAGGCAGTAAAGACTGTGAGGTGTAGAAACAGTAAATTTGGTGAACTTTGGTGTCCTGACATGGAGTGAATCCATTCGGCTTTATAGTGGTGCTGTAGTGTAGTGTTTTAGATTTTGGCCCATATCTGCTAACATGTAAGTCATACAGTGAAATTGATTCCCCCCACAGATTTTTTTTTTTTTGGGTTATGCTGCAGCATCAAAAATTCTCAGACAAAATGTTGCACTAATAAAATACAACCTGCTTTTGCAAACTAGTTGTAGTTTTTTTTTATCACACAATCCTCACAAGCTTGGTCTTATTAAAGTTGAGTTCCACATCACCTTTATCCTATAGAGAGTAGTGAATATTAATTAATTGATATAACAATAATTTTGAAATGGCATACATGCATACAAGAAACTGATTTTTTGCTCAGTGTGTCAATGTGGAAACAGAGGATACAGGAAATAACTGGTATACAAAATAGTAAATTTTAACTATTCAACATTCTCCTGGCTTTATACAAACTTAAGGTACATATGAATTGAACAATACTTTAAATTAAGGTGAAAGACAAAATGTGATGACTGCATCTTATGCTCAGTCTAGCTGGTTTCCGTTTCTCCAAATGCTGTACACAGATGTTTTTGAAACAATGGGCATCGCAAATAATTAAACACTTGGAGCTCAGTCATTGTAGCGTTGTTTCTTTTGCCCTGAGCTGCTGGCGCAATTGTTCCAGGATATGAGAAGCATTTGCATGAAAGGACCTTTTTGTGGAGGCAAGTATATCAGGAACTATCCAACATGCTATGTAAATCTAGCTTGATCTGGTTCATCCTGAGGATGAGATGTTGACCCACACATCACTTAACCTCAGTCTTTTTTTCAATAGGTATCAGTCAATAACTTCTACTGACAACATGCACTGCAGACTTTTGGTTTCCTTATCAGGTCCCAGCTGAGACAGGTACGTTACGGCAGAGGATACCAGAGAGTGCAGAGCTATTGAGGACCAGTGTTTTAGTTGGTGTGCTCGTATTATAATCCCTCGCATTCTGATTTTTTGCAGGTCCAGTCTTGTTCCTCATTACACAACCACATAGTGTGTAGTGCTTTTTATACTAAGCCTTTTAAAATCTGTTAACAGTGATTTTTGCCTTCAGGGAATCCCTGTTATTAGGAAGCTTGTGAGATACTCAGAAGCATCAGCAGTGGGATTTTTGGACATAAATACCAGACTTTTAACAAAAAAAGCAAAGAAAATAAATAATAATAAACTGTGGTTTTCATTTATTTTCTATGGTTTTTGTCTGGCATTCTCACCATTGTGAGCATTTTCCTCCACACAGGCTCTGGCTGGCCACCATGTAAATTATGGGGTTGGTTCATCAGTTTATGATATAAAGAGAAGCACCAGTGCTTGGCACTGAAATTGGAAACAATAATGATAATTTTTCCAAGCATTTAGATAGAACTGTTTTCAGCATGTATTACCAAAACACATGGTTAAACAATTTTGAGCAACACAATGCCGTTGTGCCAGACTGAAATAGAGTAAACAAACGTAAGCTAGCAATCGTCAGGATGTTTTTTATGAAGACGCACAAGGTCAAATTAGAAAAATCCGAATTTTAACCGTATATGTGTGCGGTGTACAATATAAAAATGCCATTTAATATTTTAATTGAAAGCTGATATTCACAGTTATATGCAAAAGTTTGGCTTTCCCAGTTAATTACATATAACTGACATATTTAGTTGATTTGTGAAAATAAGTTAAAACATCCTCTACAGAGAACACATCCATGCACATGTTAATACTCAATTACAGTTTGTTTGCTGAATTTAACATTTTTGGGAAACCATGAAATGTGGTGTAAGCATATGTGTGTGTATGTATATATAATTCAGAAGGTGGTCCAGCTAGAACCTGTGTGGAGGGAAATGCTTGCTATGGTGGGGATGCCAGACAAAACGCATAGAAAATAAATATCACTATTTATTTGTTATTGTTTTTTTTTGTTTTTTTTTGTTACATTGTGTATGTGTGTGCATATATATATATATATATATATATATATATATATATATATATATATACATATATATATATATATATATATATATATATATATATATATATATATATTCCTAGCATTCATTTTTTATAAAAATCCTATAAACATGGTATGGCATGCTCACTCAAAGTGCTCACTGAAACGGAAATAAAAGATACTACAAAATAAAATTGAAAACAAAATAAATTTGTTTGCAATTATTAATATATGGTTAATATATAGTTGTTGACATTATTTATTAATAATAATATATTAGTAAGTACTTTTAAATAGAAATAACTTCCTTATCTACCTATCTATTTATCTACCTATGTATCTTCTTTTTTTCCTTTTCCATGATAAAACACAATACAAAAATCACAGACATTATAGTTTTCAGTATCTAGTGTGTTTTGCATTTTGGGGCTATTATATAAGGGTACATCAATGGCCATCTGGACCACATGTGAGTAGTATCCTGTTTTTCACGTAGCTGCTCTTTGTTGTAAAGGTCATGGTAAAGTAATAGTAAAAATTCGCCCAAGACCTAACAGAATTTTACCATTGCCCTCAGTGGACCTTCTGTCTTTACAATCCACTTAACTCTGTTTAAGCCCACTCAGAGTAATGTTACCAGTTGAGTATGAACACACAGTACTTAACTCTTCAATCAGCTTTTAGCACAACTGCCCATCGTTTCACCACTTCTAATGTTTCATTACTCCATAATAGAAAAAAAATTATTAGAAATGTATAAATAATTGTTTTTTATATTCTATTTGTGTAGTATTGTTTTTTAGTATACAGCCTGAAATACATTAATCTGTTAAGTCATGCTGTCTGCAATGTTACCTGAAAGTTGTACAACAGAGAGAGGGACAAAGCATATGCAAATGATTAACGGTCCTTTAGCTGATCAGCATAAAGCATTTTCAAATGATTAAATGTTTTTCAGCAGATGTTTCATATGTTTCATACATTATGGCCAGTAATTTGCATTTGTGTGAACAGTTTTTCTTATGAACTGAATCATCTGTTTTGAAGAAGTGAACAGGAGGAAAAAATAATTGATTGGCCACAGTTGGTTGGATGTGAATGTAAGGTGAGCGGTCACAACAATTATGAACTATATATGAGCAAACTAACCTTTCCAACTTACCCTTAGCTTTGACCTCTCTGAGCTGTTAAGATACTGACTAGTCCAGCATTATTTATGAGTCCCTGGAAATGTATCCAGATAACAGAGCTTTAAAATGTTTAAGAAACACAGTGGGAGAGGTGAAAGGGATGTGAGATGAAGCTGAGTGAATGTTTCCATATCACTTGCACCGAATTGATTTCGGCCTGTTTCCTGAAAGTCCCCTAAACCTGACACCTGCTTGTCTGTGTTGAGTTTAAATGCCATCAATCCAGTGTAATGGAACGCTTGTGAGACTAATTACATCCCATTTGCTTTAATGAGGTCTGGATTACCTCGAGCCGTATGCGCCGTTAAAGCTCCCTGATAGCTCTTACCTTTGACAAGGAGAACAACACCATTTCCTAAGCGCTGCCTGTGGAGCGTGTAAATACTTAAGGTAATGATATTCACTTCCTTGTAATAAATAGGCACAGATGGTTACAACACAAGCTAAAGACTGTGTATACACAGAATCATACTTAATGTTACTCTTTTGTCTTCAGCCAATCCACCAGAAAATCACAAATGATCCTATTTTAGCATATAAAGTCATTTCTGATTAACAAAAACAAACTAGTATTTTAGAAAATTGCATGAAATATTAAAAGAGCCGAGCTATAAATACACTCATATGTAAAAGTTGAACAACTCTTGGTCAAATAACATGTTTTGTTGACTTTATAAATGAAAATAAGTTAGTACATCCTATACAGGGAACAAACTGAAATATGGCATTTTTCTGCTATTTTTAGTGCACTGTTTCTAAATATTTCTTGGGTTTAGCATATTGGAAAAAATACAACAAAGTATAAAATGTGCTATAACTTTTGTACAGGCCATATTTTATGCTTTATATTTCCCCCAATATAGTAAATTTAGCAAAGTAAACACTACCTCTGCATTAAAATGTGCAACACTGTGTTCTCTGTAGTGGATGTGTTAACTTATTTTCACTTAGAAAGTCAACAAAACATGTTATTTGACCAGGGACAATGAAACTTTTGCCTATGACTGTAGGAATAGTATCATAATATTGGGTTACAGTTGCTTTCCACTCTCTATGTCTCCCAAACCACCTTCTGAGTTAAGACCTAAAGGTAAGTATTCCAAGATTTTGTACAAACATTAGTATAATATACAAGTTTAACATTTTATACAGATCAATCAAATGTTACAAACTTGTGAGGTCCAAATGATAGACTTTTACATTTACTTTAATTCTGTACTCCCAGTAGCTCTTATCATCTGTGGGATTCCATTCTAGGAATAAGCAGAACTTTGTTGACTGATTCGGATGTCACACAGAAAAATTGCTACTAAGTTGCATGATAGGCTTGGGCAGCCACTGAAACCTTCATTTGTGAGTGCCAGTCTACCAATTTGTACATGCAAGCTCAAGCTCAGATGAAAACAGGCTTAGTCGCAGACTTTTTTAGGGCAAATAGAACAGGGCAAGCAAGGATTACAGTAGTACATGTAGGTTTAAAGGTGCTAAAGCTGTTCTACACATAAGAAGCAGTTCCCTGAAGCCCTTGGACCCTGAATCCAACTGACATGGATCCATTTACACTGGAGGATAAATGGGCTACTATTCCTGCCCATCTCCAAACAAAACCATCATTGAATTTCTCTCTGTCTCATACACGCGCACAAGCTCACTGATGTTCAGAGGAAATAAATGCTGTATTGTCTTTCTAAGGAATTTAGAAACCTCATACTTAATAGGGCCCAAGATAAAAAAGAGCCTATGAAGCTAAAGGTTTTTCCTTTTATTCGTCACTTCATGAGAAAAAGAAAACATTTACTTGTAAATCAGCACCATCGTATACAACAGTATCATGTTAGTTGAATTCTTCAAGACTGATGTGGCCGAGAGGCTCAAAGAGCAAACTGTTCATGTGATGCGATGCACTAATGTATGACTCAGTTCCTAGAGACACAAACGTGGTCTTCCACTTAGACCTTTTCATAGAAACCAAGTTGATGAAAAAGCCCTGGGAGTCCTAACATGGGAGGTAGAAGTTGCCGTTTTCTGTTAATCTGGGCTTTGGGGTTTCTCTAGCAATCACTAAGGTCAGAATTTGAGTTCAGGTGGCAGCAGATCAACACAAAAAGGTCATTTCTACCTACTGTCATGTGTGGAGGCCAAAGCAATTCAACACCAGTGATAAATAGAAAGCTGGTGAAACTAGGGAGTGCTGTACTGGAAATCTCCCTGTCTCTCCAGAAACACAATCATACATACTGAGAGGAAAAAAGCAAGAACTGTATTCTCCATTACAATTAAAGAGGCTGATCAGTAGCCAATTATCAGGGGGAACACATAAAATACTGGATGTCAACGAGTTTTAAATCTGTGATTTGTGATTTAAAAGGGGGCACAGGTAATTTAGTCTCTGAAATGAAAAATGTGATTTCAAACTAGGAAGAAGGAGGTGAAAGAAATGCTGTGAAAGAAATGTATTTTTTAATGCTAATTAAATTTAGAGCCTCTGAGTATTGCTTGTAGTTCATTTCATGAAGTCTTTTACATTACAATGCCTCTGAGACAGAAAATAATAGTGTCTTCAATGATTACAGTAAAAAAATACATACATACGTATATATATATATATATATACATACATACATATATGTGTGTGTATATACATATATATATATATATATATATGTGTGTGTGTGTGTGTGTGTATATATATATATATATACACACACATATGCATATATATATTTATATATATATGTATACACACCCAAAGGTGAACAAATTAGCACATCATTAAATGCAGAAGTGAAACACAGTGTTGGACATCCATGTTACAAACACAGGAGACTAAGTATCTCTGATGCTGGACGCATCAACAGAAGTGCCTGACCACACCTCAAGGCATACAATATAACTTGATTGGGGGGGTGTTCCCACAGCAGTCTGTGTAGACCAGTGTATCCTACACATAAAACATAAACTCAATGAACAAAGTCTGTAGAACCTCTAGTCTTTTCTCAACGACCCTTTTGTGATTCTCAAGGCCCTAATATACTGGTTAATAGATACCTTGGGTGGTTTCTCAGATCCCTAGTGCCTGGTAGGGCCCTTCGTAGAGGGCGTGTAGTTCACAGAACATCTACGGTCACTGTAGTTCTTTGGGCTCTATACATTGTAGGCATAGTCCGTCAGGTAGTCCTTCAGTCTGTTTGGCAGTGGGAGCTCCTGCACCTTTCGTGTGGTTTTATTGATGGCAATGCGGCACAAATGCTGAAGAGAGGGTATGGCTGTGTACACAGGGGTCGTCAGAAGGAGCTGCACTGTACCATTGGATGGGGCCAGTGGAGCAGACCCGCTCTTACAGGAAGTCCGGGACAGCTGAACGTAATGCTCCACCAGATGGACCACGCTGTCAAACTGCTTGAGTTTAGGCTTGACCAGCACCACTGAGTCCAGCTTGAACTTGCCTTCTTTGTACTCAATGCGCAGGTTAGTGGGTCCAGCAGATGTCATAGCAGAAATGGTAAAGAGGTAGTCTCTTTGGGAGCTGTCCCGGACTAGGAATGTCCCCTCTGATGCATCCTGAAGGATCTCTTTGGCTTCATTGGCTGTCAGGCGGCCCCAGTACCAGCCTACCACAGAGGAAACAAGAACACACATTAGCTTTCATGCGATGTGGTTCTATTGTGCTCAAACTTTTTGTCTTGGGGAGGCCAAAGTACTGTGTTTGTGGTGGGCTGAGGGCCAAAAAGATAAAACAAAATACAAATAAAGAACTAATATATAAAGAATTAGACTGTATTTGGTAAAATTTAATAATAAAGTAAAAGGAAAAAAGAATTTAATAATTTACAAACAATTTAAAAATATGTTTATTCGCTCATGGAGGTTAGGTTAACTTTATGGCAGGTCAAATCAAACGTCCTCACGGGACAACTTTGGCCCGGAGGCTCTACTTTGAGCAGCACTGCCATGAATTCTAAGCTTTATTATTAAGTTACTCATCTTAAGACTTATTATTCAGTAACTACTATGAAACTAAAATGTAAATTATGTATTTTTGAGAGTGAGGATTTAAAGCAATTATGTGGGTCCACATAAACGGAGGAATCAAGAGGTTAAAACTATAGAATGCTGACAGTAATACAGACATAAATGACAAAGTTGTTAGAATTTAGTATTACTATATAGCAGTTATTATTATTTAGCGAGAAAAAGCAATATAGCAAGAACTATATTTGCTTTAGGAGGCTCCAGATGTGTTACTTAAGGTTCTGCTTCACTGATAATAATGAGCACTGCATTCACAAATGTGCTGCAGAGAGCATCTCACAGTACAGGCAGAAGAAAAAAAATGTGTGTTTTCCTTCAACTAACCCATTAGTCTCATTCATATTCCTCCACTGTATCTAACCCAAACAAACTGTACACATGCAGGAAGGGACTGTAAGCTTCTGAATGTAGAACTATATATTTAAAAGCAACACAAATGTGCTATACAAATATTTCCTATTTTTATTGTGCACTAAGTGTATACAAAAAATGACTTTTAAAATTTATTTTAAAATCAATCAGGTATAAACTCCAGAAACCAAAAAACATAACACATAAGCAATCATTAAAAAAGAAGAGTTCCTGAAAACTACATAAATTTGACAAAGTTTTGAAAAAAAACATTTATCTTACTGAAAATCTGAGAGTGTTTTGTTTTGCATTGCTTGGTTGCAGCAAATTAATAAATGCATACCACACAGCTATACATTATAGCTATACATAGCACACAGAGATACATTACCACAAAATCAAACCACTTAAAATTAACAAATTCAGATCACGCACAACTAGAAAAAATATAATAAAACAACCAATAAACTAAACCAATTTTCATCTAAACTTCTAAAGCATCTTCATTTTTGCATATAATAAATCGCAAATACTGATACACTGGTTGTCTTGTGTGTCCTGTTATTTATCCTTGTATGATTTAAATCCATTAAAAGCTCTGCATTTTAACCCTGTTTTCAGTTTGACTCTATTCAGCTAGAGCTCATTTTTATTTGATACATGATTCATTTGATTCCCCCCATTGATCCAGCCAACAGTGTGTAATATATACTGTGTCACAAAGGGTTACTAAGCTCTAAGCAAAGGAATGAGAAGCCCAAATTACATAATAATAATAACAAAAGAGGAAAATTAAGAAGCAAGGTAAAACGTCAAATAACAATAAGAAGAGATAATAATAATAATAGTAGTAATAATATAAGTAGTAACAGCAGTAGTAATATAATAATATTATATATACATACATATATATATATATATATATATATATATATATATATATATATATATAAAATAATAATAAGTTGTAAAAGGCCTAACTTTATTAAAATTATAATTGATGTTATAATCTTGTTATTATTAATGTTATGGCTGTTATTGTAAATAATAAAAATAATAAAGTAAGGAAATGAAAAGCTACAAAAATAGTTGAATAGTTAAAGCAGAAGAAGCTGCTGTAAGAGAAGTGGTAACGGTAGTAAAGTGTACCGGTGTTTTTCAGGTCTCTCATGGCTGTGGCGATGGCACTCTGCTCTGTGTGCCCAGGCTCTGTTCTCCTCCTCTCCGGCTCTGCTCTCCTCCTCTCCAACTCTGCTCTCCTCTCATCCGCGATGCTCTCCGTGTTCTCAGAGGAGTGGCAGGTCATTGGAGAAACCCAAAACACATCCAGCTAAATCTGTCCTTCAGAGATGAGCCAGACTGTCTACAGTCCTCTGGCACTGAGGATTATGAATGAGTGCACTGACCTGAAAAAAAAACATGAATAAAGTTGTAAAACCGCTGAGGAAAGAGACCAACCCAAACAGCGGCGCGACTACACTCAAAGACTCAGATACAGTGTCCGCTCTGTCTGTCTGAGCGCACTGGAGGAGGCAGCAGCTCCTCTGTGTGTTATGAAGAACAGCAGGGCAGGATCAGCACAGCACAACACACAACACACAACACACCACACAACAACACATCATAACAAAACACCACACAACACAACACACAACACACCACACAACAACACATCATAACAAAACACCACACAACACAACACACAACACACCACACATCACAACAAAACACACCACACCACACACCACACATCACAACAAAACACACCACACCACACACCACACATCACAACAAAATACACCACAACACACAGCACACAACACACCACAACACACAGCACAACACAATACACAACAGAACACAACACACCATAGCACAACACCTTCACTGAGGCACATGTGGCACAGCATGGACAATAAACCAGCGCCTCACAAACACAGCAGAGTTCTGTGTAATACTGTGAACCTGCTGCCTCCACAAAACACACCATCAGCTGTAAACCTACAGCCACATGAAGGAGGGACAAATAACCGCACGTAACACAGATTTACAGTGTTATTGTGTAACAGCTGTAGACTCGTCAAATTAATATGTCCTGGCTGTGAACAAAGCTTTCCATATATATATATATATATATATATATATATATATATATATATGTATGTATGTATGTATGTGTATATATATATATATATATGTATAAATATATATATATATATATATATATATACGTATATATATATATGTGTGTGTGTGTGTGTGTAAACATACATATATAGGAGCAGGACAGGTACAGGAAAGGAGGATCACGTACAGACACTTACCTCCTTTATCTTGCCAGAAATTAACAAACAGCTCCAGCCACTTCAGATACTTTCGCTTTAGCGCTAAATCTGTCCATGTCAGACTCCTCGGCTCCTCCGGCTCCCTCAGCGCCCTGCTGCCGCCGGCGCACCTCGCCGTGTCATCAGGAGCCCCACATACTGACACAGGGGGCTAAACGGGGAGGGTAAATCTGGCGGGGGGGGTCGCAGATACACCGATAGCCTCTCGCCCTTTCGCCCCTGCTACTCCTCCGTTGTGTTTGGCACCGGTGTTTTTGCCTTGTTAGCTGCCACGCCGAGGGTAAACAAAGCGCCACCAGCCCGTGTTTCTGCCTCCTCCTCCTTCTCAGCCTTTACATCCCCTGCGCGCGCACGCGTGTGTGTGTATATATGTGTGTGAGGGAGCAGCCCGGCATGTGGCCACATTACAGCCCTCCTGCAGGAGCACCCGGCCGGCGAGGAGCCATAAAGCCTGCGGCTGAACCTGTCAGACCTCCAGCGGCTGTGTCCTCTTCGCGCGCGCGTGTGTGTTCGTGTGTATGTGTGTGTATATGTGTGTGTGTGCGCGCGAGCGTAATCTCCGTTTAACCCAAACCGAGTCGAGCACAAAAGATCAGTTTCCCAGAACTTTCCAGGAACCGCCAGTCACGTGGGCGCAGGCGAGCGCGCCTTCTTAAGGTGGAGCCACACAGTTCGGATGAGCGTTTCACTCACAGGTTCACTGGGTCGATTAACATCCGGCCAGTGTAGCGCCTTAAAAGAAAATCCACCGCATTTATCAATATTTCTGAATAAGTGAAATGGTTAAAGATACAAAGTCAGTCAGAGTGATTTCATGTGAAATGGTACAGCGTAGAGAAACTGACTGAGCTGTCCACAGTGGTGGTGATAGGAACCAGACGTCTGAAGAGTTAAATGTCTTTAAAAGCTCCCTCACTGAAAGTTGATACATCGAAGTATTACTACAGTTGCCTCATGTCTGTAACACTGTTTTACGACACAGTTTTGGTCTAAAATGCATTTTCTAAAAATGTTTTAATGGCGGAGTGGTACATGCAGGGTGCTGTGAGGCAAAAATAGTCCCTTTTACAGATTTACCACCATTTAATCATCAACATAACATGTACAACTCAGAAAACACGTGTAGGTTCACTGGTGGTTTCAGATAGTTAATAAAATGGCTATATCTGTATGTCAGACATTGTGACACCTGGTTCCTATCACCACCAATCTGAGTCCGTAAGTTTTCCTACAATTAACCATTTCACATAAAACCACGCTGAATGACTTTGTTTACACCTCGAACACTGAATTATGCAAAATTTTGAAAAATCGGTGGCATTCCCCCTTAAGTTCGTCGTTGAGTGTGAATTGAGGGGTGTTGTTACTTTTGTGAAAAAAAGACTCAGAAAAATCTTCTTTTATCAGCATCACAATGCAATTAAACACAAAATAGTAATTAATGAAACTCTAATCACTACAAAGTAACTTAGTAAATAGTACATTACTTTCCTCACCAGTATATTTGGATAGAAGTAAAAGTATTGTAATCTGAACTTACTCAGAAAAAGACACATCCATCAAAATATTACTTGAGTAAGATAAGAGAAAAGGAAACTTAGAGCAGCAGATACAGTGGAATGGCAAATACCACACATCACAGAAAGTAAACAGTATAGGCTGTTTTTACTGGTGACTTAGTCAATTGATGTGACAAGGCACCACCTTAAACATTGTAAATGATTGCTAAAAATGTAAATGATTGCTCAGGTGCATCAAAACAATATCACATGCTTTATGGGGTGTAATTCAGGCTCATTTAGAGAACAGTTTACTGAAGTGCTGTTATCGCAAGATAAAACATTTGATTGCGACAGGCTGCCATTCATGGTTTAGCTTTGCTGTACTCTGGCTTATTCATGGTGTATTACAGGGCTATAACACTGTCTGCAGTGAACTAATGTTTTTAAAGATTAGTTGAGCTCAATAAGAATCAGAGAAAACTTTATTCCTTAAGAAAAAACAAACAATTCATTAATGTTTATGTTGTGTTTATATTTATGCACTGATCATGACATATTTCAAGTCATTGGGGATATTTTGTTGTAAATTATGAATGCTTTCTGAAAAATGCTAATGAGGTCATTTAATGCCATTCTAGCAAACAATATATTTTAAACATGCTAAAAATGTGTGATTTGTGGACAGTGTGCAATGTCTACTGTGTATTTCTCATCTTTGACTACATGTGTTCTTTGTCCAATTTACCCTTAGACTCCTCTGAGATCATGTATCCTGTTTTCAATACAATATTTTAATAAGAAGAACTGCTCAAACGTCAATACAATTCACTCTTATTCCTTGCCTTACTTCAGAAACGGATGATCTGCTAACTTCCTAGAAATAGTAATATGTTAAAACCTCTATACTCATTTACTCTTTGACAAAGAAGTGACCCCTGAGACTATCTGCTGAACTCCCAAGTCAGCACCCTTACTGAGAACCCGAGCTAAGCCTGTGAGTTGTGCTACAGCCACACCTCCTGGTCACAAAAGGGTCTGCAGATCAGACCAGGATCGCTCTAAAGCGCCTGTACTCTACATTTGCCTTGTTTCTTCCTTACCTTGAGAGTGCTTTTTACCTTTGTGTGGTTTTCTGTGTACAAAGACGTCGGAATTTATTTTTATATGGTCCATTTATCTGACCTCTTTTTATCTCTTAGACAGGCTGTTTTGTTATTGTGCCTTTAAGACTGACATATGCGAATGCCCTCTGTTCTGATTGGCTGTCCTCTACTGTGACTCGTTCAAAGAGCAGTCCAGCCTGAAATGCTCTTCAACGTGAGTGGGCGGGGCTAAACTAATGTAAGCTGAACAGGCAGATATTCATAAATGTGCTGGTTTTCGCGACATCACAAAAATAACGAACTCAAAACGAGCTGCCTTTACGGCATAGTTTCTATATGCGGACCCCATGCAGTAAAAACTATATTTTTATAAATATGAGATACATTTCAAAGACATTGTTTAATTCTAAATGGGTTACAACTGGATATTACAAACACTAAAGTACTGTTTATCACACGAAAACGATTTGCGTGAATTTCAAGTGTAAATTGACAAATACACTTCGCATACCTTCACTGTCGGAACAAAACCTTGTGTCTCCAAAAAAGTAAGAAGATTTTATTAATTCATATAAGCGTTTCTATTAGTCCTTTAGTTTTGAAATGTGACAGTTTAAACGAAAGCTGGCATTTTCAAATTATGTAGAACAATAAAAAGTGTAATTTTAAAATGAACCTCTCCAGATGTCCCCAATACTGTGAACAAGTTTCTCTAGAACAGTTTATACCACAAAAGACGGTTTGCGTCTTAACAAAATAATCATGCAGAAACGTTTTTGGTTCTGGTATTTTTATTTTCCATGTGAGAGTGAACTGTGAACTGTGAACTGTGAACTGTGCGTTCTGAAACGTACTACATCAAACTCGTCTATATGAAACAGTCAGAAACGGGCTGTGTGTGTTAGGGGCCCTGTCAGAGACTGGTCACGTGACTGAGGGCCCCGCTCCTGTTGTGATGCCGCTACGCTCCCGTTGTTGTGATGCCGCTCCGGCCCTGTTGGCGGCGCTGGTGTGGTGTTTGCCTGTCGATCTGACGTCACCGGCGCGGTAAAAAATGAAAATGGCAGACGCGCGGGGTTTTGATTTGACAGGGTTTTAGTGTAGTTTAGCTCTTTGTTCTGTTTACGTTTCATAGACTGATTTGTGCGACAGCCCCTCATTGACCCACCGCGCCGTGTTTAGCGCTCCTGAGAGGTGAGTACCGATAGCGGCTCAGTCTAACAGGCGGACCGACCGACCGTCTCTACTCTGAGCGCTGCTGTAGTTTAGCTCACTGCTCTCTGCTGCAGCTCCAGCCTGTCGGAGTTTTAGTCATTTTACTCAGAGGAGCACTTAGACAAATAACGGTAACCCAGAGTCAGACCAATACGAGTAAGAGACTCTGGATTAAGTTACGCGGTAAACTTGCTGCTTGACCCCGGTAACCCCTCTGACTGTCAACGTTACTTTTCATATTAATACATCAACAAAGACACAGACAACTAGGGGCAGCAACCATTTTAAAGAAGTGACACACATACCAGGGGGCTTAAAAACGGGAACAAAAATGTTAAGAAATGAGGATATAAAAATAACATCACATCAGCACAGCCTATAAATCCTTAAAGGGGAATTTCACCAATAATTTCTGAATGTTTCAGTTGTTGAGATGTAAACAAAGTCATTCAGAGGGGTTTGGTGTGAAATGGCTCATTGTAGAGAAACTTACTGGCACAGATTTCTTTGCAGGGGTGGTGATGGGTACCAGGGGTCTCCATGTCTACAACAAATGTACCCATTTTGTTTACTATCAAAAATAACCACTGAACCTACACGTGCCGTCTGAGTTTTTATACATAATGTTGATAATGGTAAGAAAAATAAGTAGTATTCTTTGATACTGTTTTGCCGTACTCTGCCCTGCATGTACCTCTCTGCCATGTCGTCTCTCAGACACAAAGTCACAACATCACACTGTATTCTTACCATTGCATTAATTAAGTTCTGTGAGTTAGCTTTTTAGAGGAATTAATCTCTTCAGGTGTCTAGTTCCCTTCAATACCACTGTGAACAAGTTTCTCTAGAACAGAGCATTTCATATCACGAAAGACTGTTTACGTCTTTTAGTTAAATTATGGACAAATTTTGAGGAATTGGTGGAATCCCCCTTAATGCCAGCTGATAGGTGTAGCATTGCATATCATGCCTTTAGGAAATCAGGAGGAGAAGTTAACATCTCAGTTATAAGTAGTAAGGCATCTTCATTTGCAGTATAATATTGTAGGCATTTTGCCACTTCTCTAAAAGGATTCATCAATTATAATTATTAAATATAGTTGAGTGTAATTATAAAATTATACTCAACTGGTAAACCTCCTCGGACGAGTGAGGAAATGAAGACGTCACTGGCACCACTTATAACTACACTTGTTGAAAAGAAGGTGGCTTGGTTATATATAGGCAATAGTGAACTATTGTTGTCTTTGATGCTTTTTTATGTGTGTGTATATGTATATATACATATGTATATGTATATATACATATGTATATATGTATATGTGTGTGTGTGTGTGTGTATGTATGTGTGTGTGTTACACATTTGCTTTATAAATATGTATGTTTTTATTGTGTGTTTTACAGAACTCACAAATTTGGAAGCTATGAATTCTGCGGAGACGAGGTTTGCCCACCTGTTACAGCCCATCCGGGAACTTACTAAAAATTGGGATGTTGATCTGGCCGCCCAGCTTGGAGAGTATCTGGAAGAGGTCAGTTAAGACAAGCCAGTTTGTTGAACACTAGTAGTGTACTAAATGTACTTTTTGTGATTCAAGTGACGGCCCCAAACACATCGTCATCATTAATGATATATTACAGTCTTATCAAGCATTGCATAACACAACATTACATTCTGTAATTATGGCAGGTAGTTGTGCTGAACGGGGCTCTTGTGTTATTTCCAGTTGTTATGGTATTTTTTTCAAGGTTAATATAAAACCCCATGTGAATAAAGAGCAGCTTTACAAGTTACCTTTTGTATCTTTGCATATTTTTTCCTGATATAGTAGATAAGTATTGCCTTCTTAATAGATGGTTCCTATGTTTTCAATATACACGTATGTTTGTGTTCCTCCTGTGCAGCTGGACCAAATGACCATTTCATTCGATGGAGGGAAGACAATGATGAACTTTGCTGAAGCAGCACTGTTAATTCAAGGCTCTACGTGCATCTATGGCAGAAAAGTGAGGTTTTGACTTTTCCAGATACAGATTATGATTGAGTCTCTTTTCAGTTACAGCAAGGGTGTTCTGCCTTCTTATGATTGAGTCTTTTTCTGTTTCGTGACAGACCCTGAATGTGTCTCATCTCATCAAAATAAATCTCATCTGTTTGTTTCTCTGTGTTTAACTTAATAAATCATGTTTCTTTAAGGTGGAACTTCTGCATAGTTTGGTTTTCCAGACTTTGGACTGCATCTCGAATAAAAACAGAAGGTAAATTGTCATGTTAGACCCAGACTCCAACATTCAAAAATTCTGACCAAGTGCTTGTTGAACTGTTATACTGTAGTCTGAGAATAAGGATGTTGCATTTTACTGTCCCCACAGACGTGACAAGCAAGGCTCTGAAGATGCAAATGGCATCACAGATGGCACGACTGCAAACAGTGATAGAGATGATTGTGAGGTATGTGAGTAGCTGACCACTAAGAAGCCCTTTTACATAGCCATGCCATTCATTCTAAAATCTAGGGATCAAAAGGCTTTGAATTGTTGGGCTGTAAATCCAGTCCCTCCCTGTTCCTCATTGTGCTTCTGTTTTGAAAATGAAGCATATGCGTTTACTCTGCCCCTACGCAGTTTGATGTGATGGAAGAAGAGCCCAGTACTCATAACGTGGAAATGAAGAGTGATCCGGCTGAGGTGAGTTTCTTGCTAGAGAAAATATAAGTAAGGTTCTGTATTAACAGCCCTTACAAGACAAGTGAGATTTTTAAAGGGGTATTTTAATAAAAACAACTTTAAAAGTGTATTTAATGTCTTTCTAACACATTCTGGGACACAATAGTTTTTGTACATGTTTACTGCTGAATCTTACCTTAATATGTACCATTGTGGTGACTATGGAAATGAATAGAGGATGCATTTCATACCTTTGCTAAGGTTTAGTTTTGTGCAAAAATGTGTGTAGATATGGTTGTCTATTGTCAGTTGAACCACATACTGCTGTTGTAATGGCATTATAATTACAGAGTGATTCGTTTTTCCTGGCTCGCTCAATGTCTACAGCCATGCTACACACTGCAGATAACTAATGAAACGTGTGTCCTTCATGCTTATCTTTCTTCTTGTTCAACCGCCTTTGGAAAGCAAAACAGCAAACATTCATGTTCTTACCCAGGGCTGACCTGGTCCTCCGTGCATAGAATTAGAGCGGTGTGAGATTCGCTATATGGCCAAAAGTATGTGGACACCTCCTAATTATTTAAGTGTTGCAGACACATCCCTTGCTAACAGGTGTATAAAGTCAGGCACATAGTCAGGCAATCTCCATAGACAGACATTGGCAAGAGAATGAGTCATACTGAAGAGCTCAGTCACTTTAAACGTGACACTGTCATAGGATGGCGTCTTTGAAGTTCAGAAAGTCAGTTTGTGAAATTTCTGCCCTGTTAGATGTGATGCACTCAACTGTAAGTGCAGTTTTTGTGCAGTTGAAGCATCTAGGTGCAACAACAGCTCAGCCACAAAGTGGTAGACAACACTAACTCACAGAGCAGGACTTGGCGTAGCGCATAAAAATCACCCACCCTCTATAGAGTACTATAGAGTTCCAAATGGCCTCTGCCAGCAACATCAGGACAAGAACTGGGCATTGGGGTCTTCATGAAGAGGTTTTCCATGGCCAAGCAGCTGCACACAAGCCTAAGATCACTATGCCAAGTTGGAGTGGTGTAAAGCATGCCACCACTGGACTCTGGTGCAGTGGAAACGTGTTCTCTAGAGTGTCTGAATCACGCTTCATTATCTGGCAGTCTGATGGATGAATCTGGGTTTGGTGGATGCCAGGAGAACGCTACTTACAAGAATGCATAGTGCCAACAGTAAAGTTTGTTGGAGGAGAAATAATGGTAAGGGGCTGTTTTTCTGGGTTTGGGCTTGGACCATTAATTCTAGTGAACAGTTAAGTTAATGCTACAGCATAAAAAACATTTTAGACAGTTACATGCTTCCAGCTTTGGCAGCAGTTTGGGGAAGACCCTTTCCTGTTCCATTATGAAGGCGTGGTGTGATGAGTTTGGTGTGGAGGAACTCCAGTGGCCTGCACAGAGCCCTGACCCCACTGAGCACCTTTGGGATGAGTTGGAAAATATTAACTGTCTGGGCACGAGTTCCCACAGACGCACTCCAAAATCCAGTGGAAAGTCTTCCCAGAAGAGTGGCGGCTGTTGTAGCCACAAAAGGGGAGCAACTCTGTATTAAAGCCCATGGTTTTGGAATGAGATGTCCAACCGTGTCATTTAGGTGTGCTGGTCAGGTGGCCATATACCATAGCTGTCCACGTACACTCTTGCCAGTGTAGGTGGTCTTAAGGTGGCATATTTTAAAATTAGGCAGTGTCAGCGGCCAGATTATGGCAGGAAATTGCCAAAACATATTTGCTTGCAGTGTGTTTTATTGATTGAACACATTCATAATGACCATTAATAATAAACCATTAAATTTTGTTGAAATTCCCTTTTGCATTTGCATTTTTAATTGTGTCTTTGATTAGGGTAAAGTCCTCACGATTATGATAGTGCGTGTCTGTTTTTTACTGTTATTTATTTTTGGTGGTGTTTTAGATATATAGAACTTTTTAGATCATAAATCTTCTGTGTTCCTTCAGCCAGTGAAGATTTCCCGGCTGCCTCCTGAGTCTCTGATTCCTGTAGAGGCACTTGAAAAGCAAAGATACCCTCTCCTCAGGTAAAGAACACAAGCAGCTACAGGCATCCATTTGAGGACATATAGAAGGCAATTCTGCTGGACGTCTCTGCTGTAGCAAAATACACATTACATACCATTCTACAGAGCAGATATTCGAAGCAAAGTGCTGTAACAAAATAGAGATTTCTTGCCCTTCTACAGGGCGGATACTTTTAGCGCAAAAGAAGAACCAGCAAGACAGAAATGAAAATTACATTTTAAAGGCATATGTGTAGATGTTTTGGCTCCAAAGTGTAGCACTGGAAGTTTTTGTTTAATATTTAAACTACATTTAACATTAGACTTCTTCAATCTGTATTGTGTTTAACTGCCACAGCAGGTAGAAGAAGATAATAAAAAAAGCATTTAAAGTAATTCAGTTGTTGGAGTCCAAATTCTGTTTGATAGGATGTTTGTTTTTGTTCCAGTCTCAAGGGAGAGGTTCTTGGCAGCTGTAAGGATTTCCGGATCAATAACTTCACCATGGATGCTTTGGGGATCATTTGCTTGGGACGGAATTCCTCTTGCACTCACTTCCAAAGAGCGGCTTCAGGTAATGTGCTGGACTTCTTTTAGTAGTCCTCTAGCTTGGAAGGCTTCCTTTCATTTCTGATTTTTTTTTGTATCCTGTTTTTTGTTGATCCTGCTATCTGTGTTTTGATTTGGTATCCAGAGGACAGGGCAGAGGTGATGGTTGCTGTTCCTAATGATAATTATGATGATGTTGATGATAATGGTGGCAGTGAGGAGCTCCCTCCTCTGGAAGAACATGGCATGGAGGTGGGGCCAGAGCCTGAGGAGCATGTCGAAAGACACCAGGTAGGAAGAAGTTCTGTTTTCTAAATTCTAATGCTGCCCATTTAATATGTATGTAATAAATGGCTGTTGTTTTAATCAAAGATGTGGGGTCTTTTTGACAGATTTACCAAACTTTTATATTGATAAAATGTGACAAAACACCATTTACATTCAGTCTATTTTTATTTGTGTATTTATTTTTGTGAAAGGAAATAGCAGTAGTTGTTTCGAAAAACAAAATGCATGTGTTTTTCTCCTCTGTCTTATAGTGCAAGCATATATTATATTGCTCTCTTTCAATGTCTCTAGGCCCCCAGTGAGAAAAGATTGCTAAGAGAGAGGCCTCAAGTGCAGCCTGCTGCTGAGGAGCCCAAGCAGCTACAGGTAGGGAGCAGTGCAACTGCATAGCCTGCGTAGAAATGGAATGAATAAGTCACATTGCACTGACTGAAAGAAAAATGGGAAAGTGTAAATTTCATAGCTGTAAGATTGTCATGTATTAAGAAAATAGTCAGTGAAGTGAAAGTCATGTGCAATTTATCACTAAGAGTGGGTTATGCATGCTCTGGACCATCTGCTTACATTAACTAGTTGTTAATGGAAACAACTTACTAATGCATAAATGTTATATAAAACGGCAGTGTGTTTAAATTTCACAGGAGGCTGTAGATCCTTGGAAGTGGCATGACCCATATGAAAATACAGGGGAAGATAAACCTCTGAAAACAGGTGAGTGCTCAGGATTGGCACCCTCTCCAGTTGCTTGCAACATTCCCTTCATAAGCATATACAAAGAAGTTAGTGGTGCATTTCCGGTGCTACTATTAACATTCAATTCAGTTTTTTCAGTTGATTGAACTGTATCTGACCTTTTCTGACTGCTCTTCAGGGAAGTGCTGCAACGTGCCTGCTGGCCTGGAAGAGTCAGGAAAGAGGAAGAGAAAAGGCCCCTCCAAACTGCAGGACTTCTGGGGCTGGTGCTCAAGTGTTTGTAAGTCCGTGTGTGACTATGTTTAGTTATGCGTACAAATCAGTTTTTTTTCCACATCTGATTCATATCTGATCTTCTGTACACATGGTCTGTATTCACGGTAGGTATGTCAGATTTGAACCACGCTCACTTGCATTGACCAAGTTCCTGTAGAAGACAAATTCAAACAGGCTGAAAAACAGACTGGGATCAATCAAATTTGAGCATTACAGCCTGCTGAGAACCTGCTGTGTAAACATAGCATTAATGTGCCTGTAGGATGTTGAAAATTGAAAGCAGTATAAACATTTTATAAATGCATCACCCCTATTCTAAACTGTAGACGAGAACACAGACCGCAAGCTGAAGAATGGGCCTTTGCATCCTGGTAATATTTAGAAACAAAGTAATGTATTACTGCTGTCTACAGAGTGAATGAAATGAACTAACAAATGCATTTTATTGTAGAATTCAATTACATCTATCTGAGCAAGATGAATCAGCGGCTGAAAACACGGAAGAGGATTCTGAGGAAAACAGTGAGTTTAGGTCATGGTGACACATTAAGCCTAGACCTCAGAATGCTATACCATATAGTTTGAAGTTGATTAAACACTGAGGCAGTGAAGGAAGCTAAGATCAGAAAAAGCTCATTCTATCTACAGACACAGCAAAACAGTGAAAAACTTTAGCTGAGCTTTTATTTGAAACACACTGTTTGAGTAAAGTCTAGTCAGTGTGTATAACGCTCATCTGTAATGCGTATGTGTTGACTGTGTCTAACTCGGTGTATTTGTTTTAGGGTATATATATATCTGATGAGGTCTTGAAAAGAACTTACTTGGAGCCAGAGAAGCAAGAGGATCAAGATGAGGTGGCCCGACATCCAGACATGGATGGTGAGAAAAACAAGCATATACAGTACTGTGCAAAAGTCAGAGACCGCCCTTCATTTATTTAATTTCCATTTTTCAGAAGATATTTCTGAAGAAATTAGATAATCAATTTGTATAACAAAGGGGAAAGAGGTGAAGCGATGGAAAAAAGAGGTGTTTACAAAAAATGATTTCAGTGGGTGCAAAATTGTCAGCATCAGATAAACAGTATTCAAAGCTTTCATCTTTGAGAGAGAGGAGAAAATCAAGCTCCACTCTTGCTTTAGTTCTGAAAAAATCCACAGGGTGTTTTTGTCTATCCTTCTGAAAAAAAGAAAATTTTGAAGAAACTGCTAGTGTTCTTTGAAAAACTGGAAGTCTCCAGAAGAGAATGGAAGCTGTAATAAAGTCGAAGGATGGACACACTAAATATTGGGAAAAAATTATATTACATTATTTAGTTCTTGAGGGCTCTGTGTTTTTAATATAACTTGTACTTAATGGCTGTTTTGACTGGAAATTAAATAAATGAATGTTGATCTGATTTTGTGCAGTATTGTACACATACATGAGCACAAAAGTATTTATTCCAAATAAAACAGATGTAGAACTTGGTGCTTTTATACCATTTGTTCTTATAATTAATTTGTCTCACAAACAGCAGAGGACTACTCAGATAATGAAAATGAGAACTTGTATGAAGATCATGGTCCCAGAAATGATATTGGTGAACAGGACCCGATTTTCACTGGTAATTATTTAATATATATTATATACCATCACAACATTTTTTTTTAGCGTGGATGCATGGTCTCTTAATTCTTCTTTCTTCCTCTCAGACTCGCAGATGGGCCGGATCACTTACGAGGACCTGGTCAAAAAGAGTGTGGTATGCTCAGTCTTGCATACTTGAAAGATATGTAGAGGTCTTTTGTGATGGAGTAGAGCTGAACAGGCTTAAGTGTTTCTCAAAATGTCATCTCTGGCTGTAGGAACTCTTCCTAGTGAATTCGCAGAAGTACGCTCAGGAGACTGCTCTGTCTCGCAGAGTGAAGGAATGGGAGGATGAAATCAACCCAAGGCTCTCAGCTCAGGTAGTAACCTCTGACTTATCATAACACTGCTGCGGATAGTTTTGCTATCACGATTATTCAATAGGACAGTTTGTAAGCTCTGTCACTGTTCCTGTAAATGCACTAGCAGTCCGTAATGTTTTTTGTATTGTTATTGCCAACTTTCAGTAGTGACCTAGTGTGTAACAAAGCTTCCACTGTTTAAAGTTCAAAACTTTAAAAGAATTAATACCTTCTAAGAACCGTTTTGATTAAGTACTGAACAATCCTCCCCGTCTCCCTAATTTTCTTTAACTTCTTATTATTTAGTTATTAATTACATGAATAATCATTCAGTAACTACTATAAAACCCTCAGTGCCAAGACTAATACATTGTGTGAGTGAGGAACTGATTTGTGGATCAACACAGGTTTAACAGTTAAGTGTATAGCAATAAAAATGTGTAAGTATATATACATATCTGTGAATACATTTAACTGGTGAACCACTGGCATTCTTTGTTGTTCAGGAAGACCGTCCTCCTTTTGACATCCATGACTACGGGGACAGGATTGTCCATGCACTTGGTGCTGTTGGGGTGAAGCAGTCATTTGCATCCCTCGTCACAGGCATGGAGAACACAGAAGCCTGCAGATACATGCTGGCTTCTCTTCAGCTGGTAAGCATACATATCTGTAATGTTTGTGAAAATTACATATTCTGTATTCTAGTTTAAGTCTCCATATTTAGAATGATCCTAACATACCCCATCAGGACATTCTAGTGAATTAGTTGAGGCTTGCAATGTTGTTTGACCTTAAAATGAAATAGGAATTGGTTTTAGTCAGTTTCAAAGAGTTTTTTTTAGCAGAGGGGCAGCAAGGCTAGGCAGTGAAGGAGTGCTGTTCAATTTTGAGTACTTAGATTAAATTACCATTTGTTAATCTGAAGAACCTGGTGGTGAGTCCTCTCAAATTCAACAAGACTTGATCATTTGACCTATCTTTTGTTTTCCGATTGATTTTCTGTTCTGAAGCCAACCATGCAATTTCCACTCATCTGCATCATGTCTGAAATATGACAAATGCGCTTTCTTCATAGTAATCAAAGTGCTAATCAGATTGTAAACATGGCACATATGTTTGCTTCAGGCCAATGACTACACAGTGGAGATTGACAAGAAAGCTGGGCTTGAGGAGAGCATTGATACCATGGAGCTGACGTTACTGAGCAAACAGAGGGCACATGAACGTCTCAAGACATACACCACCACCTCAGACCATGACCTCCCTTGATGTTTCACTGCTGCATAATGCACAAACCACACAATACCAGGTGTTCTTAGATGAAAATATATAAACAATGTAAAAAGACATTTATACAGTGCTGGCAAAGTCTTTTGAATCGGACAAGTATATTTTAGTGTTTTTTTAATGTCATCCAGTTATGTATACTTTAAACCTATAACCGAGTTTAATAAACACTCTGTGGGGGTTTTGTAGACCAGTACAAGGCTTCTTCTGATCTAATCTCAGTGCTCTACTATATAATGGTCCAGGAATAACTTAATTCTCCATATAATCATAAATCCTTTCTGTAACTGGTGTGGCATTTTTACCAAGTGCTACCTGGGAAAAACAATGTTCCTATGTATATCAGGTTGTCTTCATTATACATATGTGTGTGTAATATTTTCATGTACTATGGCTGTCTTTCTTATGTGTTTTCATGTATTACACATCTTCTATCCTGTAACCAAAATTGGGCATCTTAGTGCAAAAATAAAGCATCAACTGCCATGATGTAATGATGTTATCACAACTAATAACCTTGTATATAAATATAAAAAACAATTGCTCGAATTAATTTGAATATCTGAGGAATAAAGTTTCAACAAGTCAAGGCTTTTCAGTGGATGCAGGCACACTTTATTTTGTTCAGACACAATCAAATCTCCCAGCATCAGACTTAAGTCTGGTCAGGGAATAACTTAACGTGATTCTTCATGTGGTTACGAATACTTTCTGCAATCTGTGTGGCATCTTTCATTCGGTTGTAATAGTCCAGGAACAGTCCATCTGGGTTAATGAGGTATATGAGGATGGTGTGGTCCACAATGTAGTCCCCGTCATCATCCTTGGGTCCAGCACTGGCAGTAAACCCTGTATGCCTGGCCAGCCTCCTTCACCTCCTCAGGTGTGCCCTGTCAGTCCAATCAGTCGTGGGTGAAAGTCTTTGACATACTTTGCCATGGCGGCCACGTCATCCCTTTCAGGGTCTACAGTAATGAACAGCGGCTGGACGCGGGGAAAGTCAGCCTCTTTGTCTAGCAGATTCACCACACTGGTCATCTTCTCCAGTTCGTCAGGGGCAGATATCAGGGCAGTGTGTGAAGCCGAAGTACATGAGCACCCATTTGCCCCTAAAATCTTTTTTGGTCCTGCGCTGCCCTGTGTGGTCCAGCAAAGAGAAGTCTCCCTGACCCACGGCCACCTTCCTCAACTGCTCCAACCGCTGCATCTGCAGCTTCTGCTGCTTTTCCTGATGCACATACCACCAGGTGCCGATGATCCCACCACCAAACAGCAGAGTCACGGCCAGCCGGGTTCTTAGCTTTATCTTTGCCGATAAGCCAGGCTTTGGAGGTTGGGTGGAGCCTTGAGAAAAAGAGGCTTGTTGCTGATTGAATAGAGGTGATCTATTGCAGCGCAAGAGGGAGTGCTCAGAAGAGTGTCTACTGAAATGTACCTGATACCTTTGTGGGAGTAGTAGAGGTGAGGAGCAGCAGTATGCTCTTGGCATGTGATGTAGTATGTCTGGAGTGTGTCTGGCTCGGAGAGAGGACCACAAGACGGTCCATGATGTCACACGACAGGCAGGAGAGCTGAAACCAAACATGTTCATGTTCGGAGAGCAGAGCTGGGGAAGGAAAAGAGAGATTAAATGCACAATAATAAGCAGAGAACACTAGCAATACTCTTAACATCTTGTTTGGCCCTGACTACCAAATAAAACAAACAATTAGCTATAAACAAATCACTCTGTCAACAGCTGGGCTCACATTCAAAATGTCTATAGAGCCAAACACACTAAACACAAATCAGCCATATTAAAACCCACACAACACTGCTGTGTCTGATCCACTCATACCAGCACAACACACCACCACCACGTCAGTGTCACTGTAGTGCTAAGAATGATCCTCCACCTACAATAATACCTGCTCTGTGGGGGTCCATGGGGGCTCTGACCACTGAAGAACGGTGAAAAGAGGCTAACAAAGTATGCAGAGAAACAGATGGACTACAGTCTGTAACTGTAGAACTACAAAGTGCACCTATATAGTAAGTGGAGCTGATAAAATGGACAATGAGCGTAGAAACAAGAGTTATGGCTAATCGATGTAGACTCAAAGCAGGACAGACTAAGGCTCAATCTCAAATTGCTCCGTACTCCCTGCGTAGCGCCCTCCGTAGGTCTTAAAACGGTGCACAGTAGTCATGTCCAACAACTCTTGTGGAGTTCAGCCACGGCTGCACAATTCTCTACTGAACCTGTAGTGCAATATTTAGGTAAAGAAGCTAAAAATCTCATAACGTAGTGCACTATATAGGGAGTAAGGAGCCATTTGAGACTGAGCCTAAGTAAACCTGTCCGGCTCCCTCAATGTCACTGCCGTGCCAGCTCGCTCTGCCCTCACACACCGACTACCAGCTAAGACTGAATCGGTTCGACAACGTCTGTAAACTAACACAAGACAACTGTAATACTAACCCGTAGCCGGTCGTTCTCTGTAGGTTAAGTTACTCTTTCAACATCAGCACGCCTAGCTAGAACAGCGTGTAATTAGTAAATACAGTTTTGGTTTCGAAAGAGCAGATTCAGATCTTGGGAGCAATGTCGCATTTCCAACTAATTTCTTGCACGGTGAACTCAATAACACGTACATAACTGACTTCTAAGATTTTTCTGGTAATTAAGAGTAATTGAGTTTGTGGCTGTGACAAAATTGCCCTAATCGGCAGATTCGCTACAATCTGGGAGTCAATGACAAAAAGAATCGATTCCTCGATTCCAAGCATTGGGGAATGGAGAATCGACTCGAGCAGCCCTAGTAAAGGTCGAGAACGAATCGTTCTTTTGAACCGGTTCTTTCAATAAACCGGTCGAACCGATTCAACTGAATCGAAGCTGTTGCAGCATCTGATTCTCAGTGACGTCCGCACAACAGAGGACTTGTAGTAAAGTTGGAATCGCACTTTCATGATTTAAACATAAAACCCGACTCTGTGACCTGTTAAGGAAGTATGTCTTTGAATTCGCTGTTACGTTTCTGCTTCCTTTCTCTTCTCTGCTCTTTTTCCCGTCACTGAATCAGATGTCAGATAGTGGAGAGTGAATGAGGCTCACCTGCCAGACTGAATCATTGAAACGGACGATGTTACAGAATCAGTTCTCTGCGCTCCAAGTCTCTGTTGACCACTAGAGGGCAGAGTGAGTAAGACAATAAAGCCCCACTCCTGCAGTCCACCAGAGCCGGCGTGAAGCCTCATCAGAGAACTTGTAGAGTAGAGAATTACCACTCTGCAATATCTTCCGGGTTTCTCAAACGCTAGAGGGCGCTCCCGAGCAAGTCCAAAATGGGTTGAATGGGTTGATATGGCGATTTCAGCAAAATCATAGTTTATAAATGCTTAAACATTTTTAATGTAAAAGAATACAATCATTTCCTGAACACTGATAAAACATTTTAACACTGCGGTTATATTTTTAAGAGCTTTTAAACTCGAGCTATAGGAGTTTAAAACAGTGCCTCATGTATGTCCATGACGTTTGTGAGTTGTAGAAAGAAGGAAATATATAGGTATGTTTGCTCCATTTACTCCCATTCATTGAGGACTCGCTCGCGTGCGCCCTCTGCTGTTTAGCAGTCCTGTTTTTGATATAACGGGGGAAATAGGAAGTGGCCAGGCTCCTCATAAACCGGCTCTGGCTCAATCTCACATCCCTGTCCTGATTTCAGTTCCCACAGGTCCTCGGCCAGACTTAGCATGTTAGCACGTTTTCATTACCATACCAGCCAGTACAGTAAACCATTAAACACGTCACTGTTTTAACTCATTTGTGTGCTGGCTTAGTTGCGTTTGTTTACAAGTATATTTAAGTTCACAAAATGACAGTCATATACATATCCACCTGTGCCTTTAGAGGTGATTTATATGACTCATCCCAAAAAACTGCGAATACCTTGACAGAAAACCAGGGGAAGTAAGATCAGGACGGGGATGTGAGATTGGGCACCACACCGGTTTACGAGTCCACCGCCACCACACACTCCCGTGTTCTCCTGCTCTAACACGTGAACGAGCCCCAAAAGGTTTGATTATTAGCTAAGGAGGAAAAGTGAGCTGTGTAGGTGAACTGCGGGAATTGATTTGTCCGCAAATGTAAGCTGATATGGCTAAAACTGCTTTTGTAGCCGTGCATCTCTGTTCATGGTAAATTAGTACACATTAGTTCATAACATGCATAAAAAATTGCTGTTAGAGATATGCTGAATTTAAAATGTTCTTTTCAATTTGCCTGTTAATTATAATGTGATCAATTTTCTAATCAAACTAAAGGTGGGCAAAATTGCAAAAATGAAATATCACAACACTCGAAGAAGTTTTCACAATACACAAGATGATCAAACATGCAGTAGGGAAGTGCTTTCTGAGTACTGATGATATCCACCTCAGTGTTTTAGGGCATACTTCCAAGACCTAAGACAAAGTTTCCTATAACCTAGAATCCAGCTCTCTCTCTCAAATGACAGACAACACTGGATAATACACTTTCCCACTGTAGCCTATTTTCCTTCTAATATTGAAAATAGAGTTTGTTGCTGCTGTTATTTTGCTTTTGCTGACATTGGAAATACATTATAAAGTTTTTTTAGTGGAAAAAAAGCATGAAGATTCGTTCCTCCTTTTCCGTCAAAGATTGAAACTAAACGCTGTTTTAAATGTTTTTCAATACACTCATACTGTCTATAGAGCAGTCTCTGATAAACAACACTGTTAACAGATATACAGTAGCCTGGGTCCCCCTTAGTCAACAGCTTTTCATTGAGACAGCTGTAATAGACAACTTACTGTGAGTCAGCAAGTATAGACCCTGTAGAAAAGACTGTGATCCTCTCTGTCTTGTATTTTGGAGAAGCTGGGATTTAGACAGGCATGGCCAAAGAGAGCTTGTATGCCACTGAACTGTCTTTAAAGTTGTCACTTAAGTGCTTATGGATGCTTTATAGAATGGATAGTTCTGGTCCTAAAATCGGGTTGGCTGGGCCGCATTCAAAGCTGTTGTAAATCCATGATATACACACACCTATGAGCGTCTCACAACTGAATTGTGCATTACTGCGCCACGGCACGAAAAAAAACTCTTGTGTTGTTAATGGAATAAACTGACTTTCATGCTGCTCGCATGGACCATAAAGTGCCTTGATGAAGTAAGAACTCATTTTTTTGTTTAAACTGAGGGGCTGGCAACTTATGTTCTTAACTAGAACTAGGCTGGTCAGCTAGCTAACAGGCTAAAAGATAGTCAACAGTCTAGACAACTCTATCAATATCACAGGCTTGAATTAAAGCACGTACTGTATGATTAACTGTAAAACAGCAGTATGAAAGTCTAAAAATGTCACTTGAATGGATCACACGCCTCAAATGACTGTTTCAGTCCGAAGAAGCGTCAAACCCAGGCTGAATCCCAAACGGCTCTGTGTCCCTAAATAGTGTGCTAGCTATGAAAGTTTAGAAAATCTAGCCTCTACAGCCAAATAGTGCCTCATTTATCAAGTATGAATGTGGTTGAATCCCAAATGATTATTTTCTTAGCTATATTTTGCACCATTGGGGTGCATGATGTAATATTTAAATTCATATGTAGTGCACTATGTAGGGAACTGGGAGCCATTTGAGATTTAGCCCTAGCACAAGAACAGGGGCGCTGCTGGATTGGTGCTAAATAACACTCGCTGTGTTTATAAAGTGAAAGTTTTTGCATTAAACAGTGCTGTGTTGTCATATGTTCATTGATACATGACAAAAAGTTAAAAAGTTCATGAAATGACTGCAATATACAGCGATGGGCAACTGAACATTCTCCTCATTCAGTGGTCCATGGTTGCTTGGCAATGATACCGTCCTCTAAAGGAACTACATTTCTTTGCAGAATACTTATTTATGTCGATTAGCCTAAATTATTTTCTGAACAATTGTGCATTTTATCACGGGGAAGGAAGTTATAGGCACTCTACTTTGCTTCATGCCTAAGAACACCCTTCACCGTGATAACATCGCAGTAACGCACAGCCTCTCAAGGCTCATTGCTTTATTATAAATATGTAAGTATGTAGAATAAAATAAGACTTTTATTTAGGTTTATCAGCCTGGTAGTTATTTTATGGTTGTCAGCCCATTTTACTATTTTTATTCGCAGGGATGCACTATGATATCGGATTCATATCAATTTCGTTGGGTAATTAAATGCTTTAAAAAAGCAGATTGTTTTGATATGATGGGATTTCAAACTGACTACACTTTGATGATGTATTTATTGTCCTCTTACAGAGCAGAATGTTTAATTGATGCTGAGCTAATGTACTAAAATGTTGACGTTTTATTCATTTTACTGCATTTGTAACCCTCTAGAAAATAAATATATTTATATGTATGTATTTCTATTTTGTAAACATTTATGCATCTTCATGAATAGATATATATGAAAAATATTTGATATCATTATTGCACCACAATTTCCTTATCTTTGAACACTTAGTTGTTCAATAATTAATCATAAGCCTTAATATTCACAAACAACTATAAATTATTCGGTGACTTCTGTAAAACTAATTTCATCACTGTCATAACAAAACCTTGAATTAACATATAAAGATAAGTTAATATATAAAGATATTTTTGCAATTTTGGAACATTCTATTGATTCAGTCATGAAATGTTCACACAATATAAACGGCAGCTGGCATTTTTAAATGATGTCAAAAAATAAAGCCCCAACGAAAAAAAAGTTTTTGAGGTTTTGATGTTTACCTTATTGACATGTAAGCTGTGTGGGCGCACACTTGGACCCTTAGGGTTTAAAGAGTTAACACAATTGCAGATCATCAATACAATAATTTTTTAAGCAGATTGACATTTTTCTGCTCTGTTTTTGGGTCACCATGGACAGAATGGAAATAATGAAGCCTATAGGAAGCTTAACTGTGCAGGACGGAAGCTGAATAACATGAGTTTTTAATTTGCCTGCGCTCTCCTGATAGAACTTGTAGAGGAAAGTCTGTCTTCCTCTCTATACGAGCAGAGAGAATACCCAAGCCCAAAGCAAACATGAAGCAGGTAGGATGGGGGAAATGAGCAGTTCAGACAGCAGACTGATGACTTTGCCAGCTCAGCTTATGCAAAAGGTCACACCATGACTAATAACACAGTCATTAGAACTGCACATCAGTGTCTGTGTACACTTTGGTTATGAGAGCTCTGGAAGTTTCAGGTGGTGTTCAGTTTGAGCTCTCACAGCTTCATATGGTGTTCAGTTTGATCCCTAACAGTTTCAGATGGTGTTCAGTTTGAACTCTCACAGCTTCATATGGTGTTCGGTTTGATCCCTGACAGTTTCAGATGGTGTTCAGTTTGAACTCTCACAGCTTCATGAAATTGAATACTCATACTTGTCCTCAGTAAGACTTGCCAGAGAAAAAACATACTTTTTATTTCTTACTTTTTCATTTAATCCTCCACATTTTTTAAATTTTTCTTTCTCTTGTTTTTTCTCACAACTATTACGTACAACTATTTTTTAATTTAATTGTTTGGTTTATTTTATTTTCTTGACACACCCAATCAAATTCACAATGTAAAACAGAGTAGCCCACGACTGTACTGACCTGTTTTTGTTAAAGGACCAATGTTGGGCAGTCGTGGGCTGGAGGTTAGGGAACCAGCCTTGTGACTGGAAGGTTGCTGGTTTGATCCCCTGAGCTGACAGGTCATGACTGAATTCTAGCTCCCAACTGCTCCCTGGGTGCCATGGATATTGTTGCCCACTGCTCCAGGCAAGTGTGCTCACTGCCCCTCTAGTGTGTGTGTGTGTGTGCGCACTAGTGTGTATGTGGTGTTTCACTGCACAGATGGGTTAAATGCGGAGGTGAATTTCCCCATGTGGGATTAATAAAGGATAACTTTGTTTGCTTATTATTGCCTGTCAGTTGCTACACCACACGTGTGACCCAGCTGTGTACTTAACGTTTAAATGTGCATGAATTTTACAAAGTAACAAAAAAAGTCACTCAATTAAAATAAGACAATTTCTTTCTTAATTTTATTTATTATATGTACTTTTTACACTTATGTACTTGAGTGTGTTTAAATGTAGATACTATTTTACTTTCACTCAAGTATGTTTTTGACTCCATACTTCCACTTTTAATTAAGTGTGATGTGGACACAGTA